CAAGCCCTGCTGGTTGGGGCTGAGGAGAAACTTCCCTACCTGGCATTGTGCCCAGAGGGGGGACCTTTTGGAGGAGATTTAGGGCAGGAGACCTTAGAGATGCAAGGGAAGAAGGAAGTTGAAGTGAAAATTTTGTGATGATTCCAGTGAAACAGGATAGGGAACTCTGCATTTTCCCTATGTATTTTTACCTTGTGCTATGCCTGCATACACTGTTCTTACTCTTTTATAGGACAACTTGCTAAAACGCTGTGAAGAGCAGGAATGATTCCAAGACCCTCCTTTGTGATGACTCCAAATGCTGACTGACCCTGTACTTCCATCTTCCCATTTTTCTCTATTTCTTGGACATGAATTTTCACACTCTAACAGAATAGAGCCAACTGTGTTATCTAGGATCTACAACCCTATCTTCAAACCACTTAGGTTTCTCATAAGAATAAAATAAAAACAGTTACTGTCTTTGCTAGTCAGTTTTCTTTATCAAATGTTATGATGATGATTGGCTTTGAGTCATCCTTACCAAGATTTGCTTCTCTCAAATACATACGTATTCACATTTACAGCTGTCATTAAGGAGAGATGATATGGTATTTCAAAATATTGCAGAAAGTTCCCAATGAAATATTAAGGCTGGGAGAACCACTGAGATAATTTAGTCCAACCACCAACAAAAAACCATTGCATAAAACTAATTCTTCTTGAAAAAATCCAGACAAATAAACAGGATGACTCAAGCAACACTAACAGCTGTCCTCCATCTATGCTCTATTGTACAGCTATGTGAAAAAAACTGATGTAGCACCAACATGTTTTGGAAGATTTTAAACCAACTTGTTGACTGAGGTATGGGAATAATGAAAATTGGTTGAGGTTTCCCCTATGAGGAAGGAATAGAAAGAAGCCTAGCAACCCTAACCAGCTGCCAGCTAGCAGAACTAGGTCTATAACTCAATAATTAGCTGGCTCTGCTGAATGTTGCTTCAGCTGGCCTTCAGCTGGCCTTTAATTTTTACCTTAAGAATGTGCTTCGCTTGTTTTTAGTGTAAGAGGGGCAAGGTGGTATTATTCCAAAGTTAATCAGCAAATCTGATTCAGCTGCCAGTTCAGGTGGAAGCAATCTCTTCATGCCTTAATGGTGAAGGTGTACATTTGGTTGTACAGCACCCGAAAAGCTATCTAGAAGAAGCTATCAAAAATGTCTTTGCTTGGTTTGTAGCTATTTTCACTCATGTATATCAGCTTTCTCTTTTTAATATGTCTATTGTCAGACCACAGACTGTGGTGCTTACAGAGGCACATTAGTCCAAGACACTATGAGAAGGGATGCTACAGAATAGAAGCAAAGAAAATGATAATAATAAAATAACAATGAAAACAATTACGCAAGAAAAGTGGCAGCGTGCATGAAGCCATATCAGAGGGCTGGAATTTGAGCTCAAAAAGTGCCTCAAATAAAATGACTAGATGAAGTGTATTGGATGCTGACACTGCAGAGAACAATCTCCCTGGTTGTGCTGCGCTTCCAAAGCCATACATCTCACATGTAATGTCAGCGTGAACTCTCACTAACAGAGCAGTATGTTCACTGTTCCAAGTCTAACAGCAGCAATTAATGAATGCAGAGGTCAACCACATTTTTCATCTATCCACTTCACAATCATGGCCTGGATCCAATCTTAGCACAGCTGCATGACCTGTTGGGACCATATCCCACATATATACCCCAGGTTTTTGCACTAAGCTACAAAGGTAGCTCTCCGGCATTCACAGCACAATGTACAAAAAAATGGCTCTCACTGCCATGAAGCTGACTGCTACTGTGCTCCTCGTCACCATGCTTTGCTGCAGCTCACTTGGTAAGTTTCGCCAATGAAAAATATTGAGTGGGTTCACAATGTGATGTATGTGCTCTGCAACGCAATGGGCAGTACCTGAATAGCCACTCTGGGCTCTCCTTTGAATGGATGGATTGATCCAGAAACAGCAACAATATAGCTGCATTACATTAGATGCTCTGTCCTGCTGGTTCTAGAGACTAGATGTGGAGACTCAACATTAGGCAAAATGAACCCAATGCAACTTTGTTTTTAATGATGGGTAACTACTACCATTACCTATTGTTTCCTCTAGGCTTGGTTCCTTGACACAAGGGTACACAATTTGATGCCTAATAACTGATGCCAAAGTGTCAGACAACAGAAAACAAATGTGGGGAAAGAAGTAAATTTGGGAGGTAAAAATGCAAATGCAAACAGAGATAATCTAATGTGACGTGGTGCTGGCTGAAGTAACAGCCTACTTAATCCTTCTGAGGTCATTAAGCAAAAGCCTAATAATGTGGAATTGGAATAAGAGAAAGAGCAGGCTAAACAGGAATGTGATGTACATTGATATAACAGCCTAAGTTATTACATCAGCTAAAGAACCTAAAGACCTAATGACAGCAGGTAAAGAATATAGATTTTAATTAATGTGATTCTCACATTAAATCTCATAAATTGAGATAACAAAAGGAGGGGAAAACCCCCAAGGAATTTACTAGAAGGGTTACAAGTTAAAATACTGATTTTTTTTTTTTTAAATCAAAACTCAATAACTTAATAAAGACAGCTTATCCAGAGAGAATAGGGAAAGGAGATCAGACGGTACGAGCAGCCCTGCAATGAGGTTTTGGAATAACAGTATGGCAACCTTAAAAGCAAAATCAGGCTTTACAGGCAGCTATGTAGTACCAACATCAGAAGGCTACAAGATTTGGACTTGAAGAAAGAAGTGATTAAGAGAATAGAACATTTTCAGTTTATTTTCATCTAAAAATGCCGACAGCTTCAGAAGGAGGAGGAAAAAAATATTACTACAGGTAGGCTTTGATATTCATGGAGAAGCTGAATCTGTACAAGTCAAAGTTTTGTTATATTCCCATTTGTATTTCATACTCCAGGTGCTGGATCTTCTCATGAGGTTGTCCCTAGTCTTCTTCAGACGCTTCTTGAAGGCTCTGTAGAACAGCTGTACGCTGGGCCAATTTCTCGGTATAATGTTGATGAGACAACTTCAGCTGCTTTGACTGAACTAAAGAAATGCATTGATGAGCTTTCTCCTGAGCATTTAAAGGCCCTTGTCAATCTGCTGGTAATTAATTCTTTTTATTATTCTCACAAATAATAAACATTTAGAACCGTGCAGCTTTGTGCCAGGTTCTGGACAAAGAGCATCCAAGTATTTTAACTTAAGCATTCCCTAACTGAAGTTGAGGCAGTGGGGAAGAACAGCTGTCAGCATACAAGTCTGTAATCATGCAAATGTGATTTAAGACAGGTGAGGCAGACGTTTTATTAACTGCAGAACCATTTTGGTTGGAAAAGACCACTGCGATCATCTAGTCCAACCCCCAAACCATCACCACCATGCCACCAAACCATGTCCCTCAGTGCCACATCCACACCTCCAGGGACGGTGACTCCACCACCTCCCTGGGCAGCCTGCTGCAGTGCCTCACCATCCTTACTGAGAATAAATTTTTCATAATATCCAACCTGAATGATGATCACAATAAGAATGCTAGGGCATGTCTCCACGTTCCCTGCCCAATGGTTGCAGAGACTTTAATACTGAAGCCAGAAGTGCATTCTTAGGAAGAATGAACTCCAGAGGATCATTTATGAAGCCAAGTCCCCATTCCCGGGTGGGATGGACCCCTCAGGTATCTTGTTAACAGCCACAGCTGGCACTACGGTGGGGCCTGTAGGAGTGGCATGCCCACTGTTGTCTTAGCTAGGAAGTGGGAGGTAGAAACAATCAGACCAGTAGTTTTTGGTCAAAAGGAATGTTTGCTTGGATACACTTCCAATCAGACCTCTAGAATATTCAATATTTGCAATGTTATTAAAATTAATAACTCTCCTCTTGTGCAATTTTGTGGAGACACCAACTTCCCCAATGGAAGAAGCACCTTGCTTTGTGCAGGTGTGTTTTTAGGAACAGAGCCAATATGAATGCGGAAACTTACAGATAATGGCAAGCAAGACTCCAGCCTGTGTGACACATTTGGTCTTTGTTAGTCTTTGCCCACGATCTCACGGTGTGTACTGACCTTGTGAGCACCCACGGGTGTGAGACCAAGCCTCTGTCCTCACACAAGTCCTGCCAGAGGTTACGAGTTCAATGCATAGCTCACATAAATTCAGCTTTTCTCTATGGTTGCCTATTTTTAAGGATTTGTACGTGTTTTTAGGTTATTTTTTTGAAGCGAGTATGCTACATTCACTGCTCTTTCTGTTTCAGAAACAAATCCGAACAGAAGCTTAAACCACCAGATATCTGATCCGCTTGCTGATAACACTCCTGCAGCTCGCAGTTGCTCATGTCCAAAGCCTCTGGGAAAGTAACAAATATATTTAACAAAATGGAGAGAACCAGAATGGTGGCAATTCCTCAGCTCTGTGCGCTGAGTACAGAACCCAGTCACCTTCCAGTGTACTTTAAATCTTATTTCTTTAGAGGTAAAATCCAAGCTCTAAATAAAATTCAGACTGTGTTTTAAAATGATTTCTCTCTTCTGTTTCTATAAGTAAAGATGTGGGTTTTTTTTTCTCCTCCTTTCTGCTATTAGGACAAGATGCCATTTGTTTTGCTAAGGAATAAATAACAAAATTACTGTATAGAGTTATTATACATTTTACAGCACACACAGACAAGTCCTCAAGCAAAGCACTTTAAAGTCCAAGTTGCTGATGTCTTGCTGAAGGATCACAGCAGGCCTTTCTGAAGACAAGTAGTGCTACTTGAATCCAGATGTCTGCCAGCTTGGCCAGTTACTATAACAAAATGCAGCTCTGGTAATAGAAACTAAGAGCAGATGAGAGAACTGCCTACAAACAAACACTGAATTTTGGTATACAGCCCATACAGCCTATCATTTTTGCTGCTACTGATGGGGTGAACAAGTACCCCAGCTCAGAAAAAGTGAAGGACATGTCTGTATATTTCTTGGTCCACCAAGGAATCAGTCAAATACAATTCTTTCCATATCAATAAAACGGAATGCAATTCTGCCTATTCCAGGAATACGAAAAATGGTTTTAAAGCTGTGCACCAGAAATAAATGTTCCTTCTCTGAAATCAAAAGCAAAAACATGAGTGTGAACAATTCAGAGAAAAGGAACAGATAAAAGATACAGTCTCAAAGATATTGACATGTCTTAAGAATTGGTATTTGGGTCACACAGAACTTGCATTCATAGGAAAATTCACAACATGATCTGTGCACTCTTTCAATCCATGTCAGTATGCTCCACACTCCTCATCTATTTCTTGCAGAAAGAGATCATTTTGCCACTAGTGTCTCCATACACAAACGTGATGAATACAGGACAGTGACAGGGAAACAAGCAAACACTTGCTCCGAACAAAAAGTCATCACCAGCTCTTCTTACTCTCTTAATCCCAAACCCAGAGATAGTCTGTAATTATCACACAAGTCTGCAGAGTGAGAATGAAATGTGGAAGGAAGCAGTCCCACAAGAAGCAAAGAAGTCCCACAAGAGCATATGCATCTCGGGATATCTTAGTTTGATTTTTGGATCTGCCACTTCCATTCTCCCAAAAGTAAGTGTGACCGTTCTCAGGAAAGGTTGCCTCTTTGTGAATATGAATGCTGAGCACAAAGGGTTCCACTCCTCCACGGAGGCTTCAAGATACTCTCATCCTTTATCAGGCATTTATTTCATTCAGAGAGAGAAAAACGAGTAGGAAATTTAATCCAAGGCAACTATTTACAGTAGCACTCGCGATGCTTGGAAGCGGGGTTTGAAAGCACTTGCTAATGATCTCCTGTCACTCAAAACCGATCTTGAAACAACTACCATTGCCATTTGGATCACTGCATGAAAGGAACAACAAACCCTGAAATCTCAAATGAGTGTAAGCCATATCTGGATTTCTGTTGCTTGCCAGAGAAATGTTTGCATTGTGGGTTTGATCCACGCAAGGGCCCTTTGGGAGGATTTCAATATTGTACAATCTTTGTTTTTTAGAAGTGTAATATTGAAGCTGTTGGCAGTGCAGAATGACACAAATGGACAAACAAAAAGTGAGGAAATGTGGCAAAGCTGACGATCCGCAGGAGCGTTACTCTGAGAAAAACATTTCCTTAGAGAAGTTTCAACATTTCTTGCAACTCATCCTATTCGCTCAGCTATTCCTCAAGCAGTTCAGCACTCTCAAGCACAGCTGCAAGGCATCTGTTCATCTCCCTTTTATCTCCAAAGTACCCCAGTCCTTGAGTGAGCGGTGGGTGGGGAGGAAGGAGAGGATGCTGGTCGGAAAGCCAGGGGCACAGCTCCTGCTTTGGGGTGAGGAAGCATGAGCTTTGTGTCTGCTGCTCCTGGGACCCCACCCTGAGGCTTCTCCAAGCAGGAAGGGCAGATGCAGAGCTTCCAGAGACTGACTTCATTGGCACTTGTTGTCTAGTCCAGCAGGATACAAAGCCAACACAGCGACATGACTGGTCACGTCATCCAGTGGGAGGATCAGACCCAAAGGTCTGATATATAGCAGTGCTCTGTCTGCATGGCTCGAAAGTGAGTCCAGTTGTCCTTCAGGTTAATAGTCAGTATACGGCAGGAGAACATCTCCGGGATGAAACTGGCACTGCTGCTAGTGCTGGCCATGCTGGCAGTGTTCTGCCATCCTGGTAAGTACCGCTGGCTTTAATCAACCTCTAAACGATCTGTAGAGCTCTTCACAATGTGAAAACGTCCTTTACAGTCAAAGGATCATTCCTCCTAATTGTTTCTTATTTGCTCTTCAACTGTTCTTATCGTGCACTTCTATTTTCCATCAGAACTGCAAAATTTTCTTTTGTGGAGGTTCTGAGGACTTCTGAGTGAAGAAGGCATGGATGGCACTGCCAGGGGGTCAGGGATGCCTGGGATTCCCACAAAATACAGCACTATGACACACCATGTCCAAGTGTCCCTGTTATACTGCCCGCACGGTGAAGAGTTCAGAGGCTGGAAGCACTTCAGCAGCAAAATACACCATATGAACATACACACGTGCATGTTTTATTTTTGTGTTCAAGAATAGTTTGTTTCAATGAGGTTGGTTAATTTTCATGTTCTCCAGCTTGGCTCATTTATGCTTCTATTCCAGCTACAGCTTCACCTTGTGACCTCCTCCAGAAAATAACGGAAAGGTTTCTCTTTGGGTCTGTTGATGAGTTTATGAACGTGGTGTCTCCATTCATCACAACACCTGCTATGAATGCGATGGAAAGCAGCCTGAAGAAGTGTGTGCAGGCTTCTGTCACAGCCAAACAGGCTCTTGCACTACTGCTGGTGAGTTCTCCCTCCCCACTTGCAAAATATTACATGAGCTACTCCTAAAGCTGACCCCTTTAAGCTTGGTTTGAGGAGGAAACGATGGTGCCATGCACACTCCAGAGGAAAAGTGTTTGTGCTGCATAATGAACAAGCACTTTCAACACCTTGTCCGATCTTGGCCAAATCTGAGACCGCAGAGCTGAGGTCTCAACAGATGCTCTGTTTCTAGGCATTTCAGTGGAAATAAATCCTGCAGGGGCTAATGAAAATCTTCAGTGAAGATTCAGAGACTATTCGATACTTGAGGACCCAAGCAGGAGTTAACTTTGAGGAACCAGTTCGGCTCCAAAGCTTTGGGTCCTTCCTAGAATGGCTGTGAGCACACCGACCCCCAGCGCTGCCCTTTCTTTGGCTACTGGCAGTTGGCTGTTTTTCCAGGACACCTGAATGCTCACCACCAGGACACTTCAGCCCTCTTCAGCTTCAGTGGACGTTCAAAAGGACGCTTTGTATTACCAATATTTTCCTAAACACTGCTTGGCTTTTTTCTCATTCTAGACTCAGATATTTGACAAGTGCTAAAGACAGCACGAATCTGCTATCATCGAGGAGCCAATGAGAAACCAGAGATCACAGAATGAACGATGGAATCATCGAATGGCCTGGGTTGGAAACGACCTCCAAGATCATCTACTTTCAACCCCCTGCAGGGTCGCGAGATCCGTGATACCTGCGTGTCCCAACAGCTGCTCACTTTCTTCTCTCTCATCCCGCAGTCACAATAAAGAACCTCCTCTCAATTCACGTTTCAATAAACTCAACGCGATTCAGCCCTTCGTTCCTCTTTCAGTGCTTGCTTTCAGAAGCGATGTTAGCCACACGCCCCTCGTCGCAGGGGAGTTGCACTGGGCGACCTTTAAAGGTCCTTTCCGACGCTACGGCCGCTCGCGATGCGAACTCCGTCCCCCCGCGCCGCTCCTCCCCGCTGCCGAGGGGCGGCACCGGCCCGTGCTCGCGCTCCGCCCGTCCCCGGCGCAGTGCCGGTCACGTGGTGTCAGGGTGCTGCCCCCCCCAGCCGGCGGCGAACCGCGCCGATGGAGGCGGGAGCCGCCGCCGAGACGGAGCCGCTGCTGCCCCCGCGGAGCTGGCGGGCGGCGGGGGGCGGTGAGTGCGTGGCGGAGGCGGCGTGCCGCCCCGCGCTGCCCCGGCTCAGCGCGGATTGCTTCCGCCGTCCCGGGGGCTTCCTCGAGTGCCGGCGTCTCGCGTCCGGCTTGGGTCGACCTCTGCGTCCGTCTGCGAGGAGGAGCGGGGCGGTGCAGCTGCTGTTGGCTCTCAGCCCCGCAGCGACTCATTATTTCTTTCTTTCTTTCTAACTTTGCAGCCGCCGGAGCTGCTGAGGAGCTCCGCATCAACCAGGCCGTGGTGTTTATCGAAGACGCGATACAGGTAAGTCCAGCGCGGCTGTGTGACACGCGTGCTGTCAGCTGGCGCTGCCGCGCTCCGCAGAGCCGGCTCAGAGCCCCGAATCCCTGCGGCACATCAGTTCCGGTGCGTTCTGCCCAGAAGAAATGAGTTTGTTTTTTTTTTTTTTTCCAATGAAATTGTGTTGAAATAGCGCCTTCTCTTCCCGTTTGCCCAGCAGGTGCTGACTGTGCTGCTTTGTGGGTGGATGCGGGATGCGCCCTTTTTTTTTTTTTTTTTTAATCAAGCATCTGGGCAAAGCCTGTGATTTGCCCCAAAACATGGTTACAAAGCTGCAGGGCTGGCAAACTTTGAGGTTGGTTTCAATGGAGAAGCTGGAACTGTTTGCTCGAGCAGAACTGCTGATGTGTGGAAGTCTCCCTTCCCTTTGCGTAGAGGTGCAGGTTGAAACTGCTTATTTTCACAGCTGTGTGCATCATACGGCTTTTAGAGGGATGAAGCAAAAGATCCGTGAATGGAAGGAGTGCTGGAGAGGTGAACCAAGTGTATGGGCCTCTTTGGCAAGCAGGTGGAACTATAAGTTGTGAGTTACTCCAGCTGCTGTTACATGTAATGAGGGCAGTGCTGCCACATTGCTTATCCAATAATGGACGATCTTTAGGTTGGGAAAACCTCAGCAGAGTCTTTCCCATTGCACCCACATAGGCTGAAGTCAAGGCATAGTCATTGGTGAGTGCTAGTTTAATAACAACTCATGCAGTGATGTCTTTATCTCATTGTGAAATTGGGTTTGTCTCAAGCCTTGAGCCTTGTTGATGAGCGTATGGTTTATTTTTGTAACCTTGTTTTTGTCTGTGATGCAGACCACGTGTAATGGTTCAGTGATTTCTTTTTTTTGCTTTCTCCCTACAGTATCGATCTATAAATCACCGCATGGACTCCAAATCCCTGTGGCTGTATCGCTGGTATTATTCAAGAATTTGCCAGTGGTGAGAACTTGTTATTCTTTGTGCTTTTTGGGTCAGGAGTAAGTCTTAAAAATTCTTTTTCCTTCTTTTTTTTTTTTTTTTTAATACTTACATAATTGTCTTTTTATTCTTTCAAACACGCTTGTAGGAAGCAAGCAATGAGTACGTGTAGATTAGATAGGAGTGGAAAGCAGCAAGGTGTACAAAAGTGTGGTGAAGAAGGGGATGAGCTCTTTAACAGGGTCTGTTGTGATAGGACAAGGGGAAATGGTTGTGAACTACAAGGGGGGAAATTTAGACTGAATGTAGGGAAGTAGTTTTTTACAGTAAAGGTGGTTGATGCACCATCCCTGCAGGTGCTTAGAGTCAGGCAGGACGGAGCTCTGAGCAGCCTCCTCTATCTGTAGGTGTCCCTGTCCATTGCAGGGGAGTTGGACCAGATGGCCTCTAAGGCTCCCTTCCAAGTCATATCGTTTTATGGAGTATATGGCTCTCTGGAGCAGCCATAGGACTACTGCGTGATAGGTTATTGGTATGATGCCCAGCAGGGTGTGTTAGTTTTCCAAATATCAATTTCTAACTTATTAAGTACTAGCAGAATTTTTGTTGTCAGTTTCAAAACCACCCCACCTAGGGCTATATGAATGTCAGCGGTTGCTGTTGTAATGCGTTGTTGTTACTACAACCTTACTGCAGTCCATGTAAAGCGTGCTACTCAGTGCTGTGTTACAAGCGCTGTCATTTCTACCCGAGCAGGATTTTGAGCTTGACCATTACTGTGATCCTGGCTTTGGCTTTCATTGAAACACCGTCCTCGCTTACTGTCACATCAGATGTGCGATACCGCCTTCCTGCGTGGGATCCTCCGTGCGGCCTGACTGAAAGCATTGAGCTGCTGTGCTTCCTGGTCTTCGTGATCGATGTGTCTGTGAAGGTGAGCAGCGCTTCCACCTGGCTCTCAATGAGTGGCTTTGGCTTGGCTGCTTGTTTGAGGCTTTAGATGAAAAACTTAACATGAGCCAGCAGTGTGCCCTTGTGGCTCGGAAGGCAAATGGGATCCTGGGCTCCATCAAAAGAGGGGTGGCCAGCAGGGACAGGGAGGCGATTGTTCCCCTCTACTCTGCTCCTGTGAGGCCCCATCTGGAATAACTGCATCCAAGTGTGGAGCCCCCAGTACAAAAAAGACAGGGAGCTGTTGGAGAGGGTCCAGAGGAGGGCCACAAAGATGATCAGGGGACTGGAGCACCTCCCCTATGAGGACAGGCTGAGGGAGCTGGGCTTGTTCAGCCTGGAGGAAAGAAGGCTGCAGGGTGACCTCATTGCAGGCTTTCAGTACCTAAAGGGAGCCTACAGGGGGAGGGGAATCAACTCTTTGAAAGAGTTGATAACTGCAGGATGAGGGAAAATGGTTTTAAGTTGAGGAAGGGGAGATTTAGGTTGGATGTCAGGGGGAAATTATTTGCTGTGAGAGTGGTGGGGTACTGGAACAGGCTGCCCAGAGAGGTAGTGGATGCCCCGTCCCTGGAGGTGTTCAAGGACAGACTGGATGGGGCCCTGAGCAGCCTGGTCTAGCATTAATGGGGAGGTCGGTGGCCCTGCATGTGGCAGGGGGTTGGAGCTTTGTGATCCTTGAGGTCCCTTCCAACCCTGGCATTTCTGTGATTCTGTGATTCAGTTGTTGTGCTGCTTTTTTTTTTTTTCCTCCCCCAGAGTTACTTAATTGGATGGGAAGAATTTTGGAAAAATAAATGGCTGATGGCTTATATCCTGACGTTAATTATTTCCCTTACTGATTGGGTTGTGTCGCTGAGCTTTTTCTGCACAGAGGTAAGAAGTGCTTGCTGCTTTCTGCAGAAACTGTGTCTGGGCAGTGAGGCAAGGAGGAGAAGCTGCAGAGGGATGCACAGCAGGGGCTGTGTGATGCCTTGGAGAGCTAAGGGGAGGGCTGCAGTGGGTCACATTGGATCAAATTTATTGTTGCTTGTTTGCAGTCAGCATTAAGAAAATGCTAATATGGTAAAAATACTGAGATGTGAACAGCTTAATTGCTTTAGGGTTTGTTAAGGAATATCAGAACAACCGCCTCTAAGCCTTGTCAGAGGCAGAAATTGCTGTGTAATAAGCAGACTGTAATACGTTAAAAAAAGCTGCAAACTGAAACCAAACCCTAATTTCAAGATGTGTGTCTATTTTTAATGAAAGCAGCTTGTTATTGATTCACTTCTTGAAATGGATCCTGGCAAAAAATGCAGAAATGCAATCACTTGACCTGTTTGTCATGTTTACCCAGCAGTAAAGTTAGGTTTCTTTAAAAATGCAAGTTGAAATTTCCATAGCTTCACCAGACCATTAATTATAAACAATTTTTCTTTTAAAAGAAGGTCTATAAAGTTTCCTTTAGGCCTTTTTTGACTTTGGTGGGACTTATTTACCTTCTGAGAACAACTTTTATGCTGCACTGATTTTTTTGTTTTGTTTTGTTCAAGCTTGTATATACATTTAGATCTGTTTTGGCAAACACGCACTTAAGACTAGGACCACAAATACTTCATGGGAGCTCAGCATCTGATCCACTGTCTTGTTTTGCAGACTGTACGGATAAGAAGAATTCTTCGTCCTTTCTTTCTCCTTCAGAATTCTTCGATGATGAAGAAAACATTAAAAAGCATCAACAGCACGTTGCCTGAAATGGCAAGGTAGGTAACAGCACAGAGAGCATCCCTTCACAGCAAGTCTGTAGTTACCCTTTGTATCCTGGAGCGTGATGCCTCAGTAGCTTTTTTTGAAATGGTCGCTGAGATCAAGTAGTGATGGATGGGAAGCTGTATTAATTCTGTGGCTCCTGTGTTCTGTAAGATTTCTCAAGAATGCATGTGTTGTGACAAGGAGGATTTTTTTGATGCTGATCGAGTGGTTTTCTTTTTTTTTTTCCCCTTTTCTAATTCTGTTGAGTACAGCCCTTTGGTAAGGCAAGAGCTGAGTCATCAGCTGGGCAAAGGGCTATGCCATGTTACTTAACGTTGCCTCTCAGGGCAGTATGGGTAGGGCACAAAGGTGTCCCTCTGCCATGAATACCACACAGCAAGGTACATTGTGTACTTTTTAGGATGCTTTACTTCAGGCTTTTCATTTCTAAATGGTTTTAGAAAAACGTGCTAGAATCTCTTTGACCTTAGAACTGCCTAAGCTCGTGCTAGGGAGTTCTGAAGAAGCGTGATTCTCATGAATCAAAGCTTGGATGGTCTTCTGTTAGCTCCATGTAGTTTTTTAAAAAACGTCCTTGGCTATTTTTGTATCTCTAGCAAAGCACATTAAGGATGAGGTTGATATTAATGCACATGATGTGTTCTTTCCAATAGCGTTGTTCTACTACTCGCTGTTCATCTGTCTCTCTTTACCATGTTTGCCATGCTGCTGTTTGCTCGAACAAAGGTAACCAGCTGTATTGGTGTATAGATCTCACTGCTTTTCTGCTTACTCATGTAGCTGCATGTCTGGTTTTCTAATCAAACTGGTGAAACTTGTTTCCCTGGGAGAGACCCACTGGGATGAGTTTGAAGTCTATTTAGAGAGATGTAAGTTGCACAGAATGCTTTTTTTTTTATGGTCCCACACCTTCTTGGTGCCGATGCTTTTCTCACAAGTGAGAAGTTTTAAGTCTGCTGATAGAGCAACTTCTTACAGTTCTCCAGTCAATCCTTTGCATTACTTTTCTGCTTTTGTTGAAACCACCTGTGCTGTTCTGTGTCCATAGCTCTTAATCCTGGTGCTTCTTGTTTCTATTATCTCATGTTTCTTTTTTTTTTTCCTTTCCTTATCTAGCTTTTTGTTAAGTTTACTGCAGTGTTAAGCTATCTGCAGTACTGGTATCCCTGGCCTTGCCTTGGTAGGTTTTTGCCTGCATTTTTCTGATGTTTTGGCTTCTGATTTTTGTGGCTTTTTTATTTTTTTGTTTCTCTTCTCACTTCCCGAAAGCTTATTTGAAATGTGATTGAAGTCACTTTTGTGTTCAAGTGCTTTTGGGGTGTCCTTTCTCCTAAGCTTCCTGTGTCTTTATGTATCCTTCTTTGTACTCCACTCCTTTCCTTTTATAAGGCCTCCCACAGCCTTGTTTGTATGATCACTAAGACTTGTTATGTACTTGCAGTAATCTTAGTTCTTTCCTTAATCTTTACTGAGCTTTTATTCCTCCTGAAGTTTGTGCTTGAGCTTCTGGTCTTTCTTACGATCAGCAAATTCCTTGAATTCCTGTTACAGAATTTCTGGAATCGGGAGTAGAGCTCTATTTTTCCCTTTTCTTAGTTGAATCCAGTATCTCTGTATTATATTTGCATGTCACGTATAATTTCAGTTATAATCTTTCCCAGCAGATGGAAATAGATTTTATATATCTGTTCCAGACACTTTAAAATACACTTAAGTAAAAAAACAAAACAAAACAAAAAAAACAAATTACAGTGTGCTGTTTATTTTTCCTTTTTAGATTCTCTGACCTGATACCCATACAAAGTAATTGTAGCCAACCAGGCAATGTGCTCAAAGGATGCGTTAGTAATAAAATTCTTGCCTCTAGACTTGCAGATTGCCTTGCATATATTCCCTAGCGGTGCAGTTTTCCATTCTTCTCAGCAGATTTAATGGCTGTTTATTCTGTAGTGTGTGATTCATGTTCGTATTGTTTGCACTCTGCATCTTTTGTAGCTGTCTCTACTTGAACTTGGGAAAAAAACAAATGGGTACAGCACTGTGTAGCTAGAATAAAAAGTAAGCAGCTCCAATTTTCTGCTTGATTTTTATGTGAATTCGGATTGAATATAGGAACAGTCTGTGATATGTTTTATTTAGGTCGTGTTTAGAGTTCTTCTAGCTCTGGTACCCTTGATGTCTCTCGTTTGGCTTTTTCTATCAATCAAGGGCAGCTTTAGATCCCCATGCTGTCTGCTCATGTCTTCCTGGTCCCTGCTGGGTTTGAGGTGATGGATGGAACTTTTATTTGGAGCCTCCTGTCTCTCTCAGCTTGCTGTTTTCCCTTCTGTTTTCTATTGGCTGTGAATAAGTGGTTGCACTGTATTCCTGCAGGATCACTACGTTGTCCTAGTTTTTATGCTTGTCTTGTGTTTTCTTCCGTGTGGCAGATCTAATTGTGTGTATAAGGAATGGATTACTGACTAAAACTGTCTGAATATGTGTCATTCTCTTGGTGAGTTGGTCTTAGTGATTCTAAGTGCTTCTCTGATAACAGTGAGCATTTTTCACTAGGATGGTCAACAGGATAAGGAATGGGTTGGTTACTTTCGGAATTTGCCAGATTCCCTGACATCACTGCTGGTCCTGCTGACTACAGCAAATAACCCTGATGGTGAGCACTCCGTTTCAGAAATAACTCTTGTCTCTATTAATCAATGAACAGTGAAATTTTATCAGACTGCTGTAATTGTTCTTGCAGCTGAAAGCTCTTAGGAAGGTTCTGCAAAGGCTATTTGTGCATGAAGTTACTTAGGATTTTTTGTATTTCTGCACTTTAATTTATATACACGGCTCTGAAGTGGAGCTGTATGAGAGCTTTTACCAATTGCCCAAATTTGTCAGAGGTCTCCTTTATTTTTTTTTATCCTCTTAAATATGAAATTAATAATACAGTTTTTTAATTAAATCTGTTGCAGTAATGATTCCTGCTTATTCTAAGAACCGAGCATATTCCATCTTCTTCATACTCTTCACTGTATTAGGTAAGTCACTGCTTGTCTTCATTAACTTAAATGGAGTGTAGCTTTGACATTCATGCATGTCAGCTGGAAAGGGGTTTATTTTTCTAAGAGAGTTTCATTGCAAAGTTTTCCTTTTTGGCTTTTTAAAAAGTTGTTATTTCTTGACCGTGTTCTGTCTTGCAGGATAAGTTTCACAAAAGGCACTTATTAAATAGTTCAGCTTTTTTGTAACTTTATCAATAGAGAACAGATATACAACTGCATATACAACGTTAAACTTTATTTTTAGAGGAGAAATTCAAGAAGATGGTCTTTTGAATTCTTACACATGATTTGCTATGTGCACCAAAACTTCTTTGCAGTGCTTGTGTGGTACACTGACATTTTTTCCATCTTAGAGGGAAAGTTTTGTGAAGTTTGTGAATCTTAATTTTGTTTTGTCTTTTGAAAACTAATAGCTACCTCTTGTTTGGATCATGATTGAAACGTCTCTTGACTACTGTCAGAGCCAATTCTTTTCTTGGTTGGTGTGAGAGAAGTTTGAGTATTATGTTGTATGCTGTACAATGTAAAAATGTTTAGATTTAAATAATAGTTGGCCTAGAATCAGAGAAACGTGTTGCATCTTTGAGAAACAAGCATCTATCCCAATAACTCTGGTCACTTTTTTCTTCAAAAGGTAACTTATTTCTGATGAACCTACTTACAGCAATAATCTACAACCAGTTTCGCGGGTACCTTCTGGTGAGTAAAACTTTGCCAACGTCTGTGTTCTACCAGAACCTTATGGCTGTGGAATCCTGGGTGTTTATGGATATAACTGTGTATCAAAGTATGCCAATCTGATAGTAAATACAGTTTTAAGGCGAGAAAGGTTCATAAAACTGATGTATGTGTTTTTACCCACGTGATGTAGTAGCTTGATGCCTTTTGGGTGAGAAAATCACATGTTTATGTATTCTTTGGATGTGCAACTATGTCTAGCAGATGAGAAAAACAAAAGTGAGAACAACAATGAAACTGTGAACAAGGACTGCTGTACTTTTCTAACAGCTGATGTTGCAAAGCCCAGCATTTAATTTCTCAGAGTAGCACAGTGTGAGAAGCCTTCACTAAAAACAACTTGCTGACCCTGGTGTCTATAAGAGAAGTGAAAGCTGATGAAGTAAGTGTAGTTGATTCCACAAATTGTGGAAAGAACTTGAAAGCTGTGGTGGGGATGAAACTGGGCATTACAGGTTCCTTCTTCTTCATTGACAAGCTGTGTAGTGTGTTCTGTTGTATTAGGTATGCCAGTTGTTTAGTCTCCAGATGGGAATGCTCTGGATTTCCTTAGTAGGAAGAGAGTTTTTTGGTTTCTCAATGAGATAGAGTAGTTTAGCAGTATGAGAGCAGTGAGCTGAGGCAAGCGTGTTTTAAAGAGAAGGGAGAGCATAAGTTAGATGAAAGCTCATCTTTGCTACTTGCAGTAAATGACTGGATAAGGTAGGGGCTGTGCTACACAAATGTAGTTTGTCTGACAGCTGAACTGCTGGGCTGTAGGTTAAGGCTGTGTTTTGGTGAGTGTTTTTGTTTTGTGTACCAGTGTGGTGATGGCTTCTCTAGCTTAGAATGAACAGCATTCTCCTATTGCGTAAGTAAACTGTGTTTATTGGAAGTCTAGAGCCTTGTCTGCTTGGTTTCTTCCTTCCTTTGTACAGAGCTCTTGTAAGGAATGAGAGCTAGGAAGTTTCTTCTCCAATCGTAAGACTGCAAGAGTGGCAGAGGATCAGAACGTTATCTGGGCTGGGTTTTCCTGTTGGTCTGCAAGTCCTTCTGGTAGGACTGGACTTCGCTGATTTCAGCCTTTGATCCTTTAACAATTCCCCTTAAACTGTGGGGGTGTCTGTCTGGTATCTTAACAGTCAAATCTAGTGGCTGATGATGACGGCTTTGGCAGGAAGGAAAAGAAAACAGTATTTTGACTTCCTGGAAACAGATTGAGTTAGATAGACAAGGCCTTCTCTGAAGCTTGCAGTTGGCTTTGCCTAAGGACTAGGCGAATAGTCTACAGATCTCATTTGTGTCATCTGTTTGATTTATCATACCATTTATCCTTGTTCATCACAGGGGAGTTGGACTGGGTGATCTCTGAAGATCCCTTCCAACTCAGATGATTCCACGATCTGGTTGAATTTCCCATAGACCATTGTTAAGCAGACTGCCTCCTATTATTTTCTTAATGTGTGGTGTCTTTCTTGTGCAGAAATCTGTTCAGTCCTCCCTCTTCAGAAGACGGCTGGGAATCCGGGCTGCATTTGAAGTGCTTTCTTCCCTAAAAGAGACTCCTGCTAATGCAGAACAGTGAGTGGTGGATATTGAGGCAGTAGTGCACCCAGCAGAAAAGACCAAATTTTCAGTCCTTGTTTCAGTGTATGCAGGAAACTGATAGGGTCATGGCTTGAGCTGGTGAAGAGGTATGGCTGGCCCAGGGGGCACGGGCAAATTGTTGGCACCTGTGCTCTGTGTGCAACCAGAAGGGGAGGGCACAGGGTGCAGCCATCCTGGGCTCATGTAAGGGTCAGCTGCTGAAGGGGGGAGCATCTCTTGGGCCTTGGCTGCTTCCTGAGAAGGGGTGCTGTGTAGCCAGAGGTCCCCTTCACCAGCTGGATGAGTTCCGTTCTTCTTTGTACATGACTGTTGGCCTGCCTTTGAATGTTTTAGAGAACCTGTCAGAAGCAAGTTTGCTTCTTCAGTAACAGAATGCTATATGAATTGAAGATCTTTCCTTGAAAAACAGCAGTTTTGCTTACTTTTTTATTCTATTTTTCAAGTGGGTTTTTATAGTGAGTCGTCTGGGACTTTTATGGGATATTTTCTTTTCATTGCTGCTTCTAATTTTATTTGCTTTAAAAGAAGAAAACAAAACCAGAACCATTGATTGTCTCGGTGGTAAGATGTCTCTTTGAGGACCCATCCTCTAAGCTCATCTTCTTTTGGATAGGTCATGTGTTAGTGCTGGAGCCTTGCTTCAAGTGCTGCAGAAAGTTGAAATGGATTCTCGCAGCAGGCAAGCAATCATGATGGTAAGAGCTGGATGTTTTTAATCCTTGGAGGCTGTCAAACCCTCTTGCTGAGACAGCTGTGGAAACTGATTTTTTTTTTAATCACAGCACTGATTTAGGAGCAGTAGTCTTCAGCACAGCTGTTTGTGTCCTGCTTTCTTTAAGAGTGTGAGCTGAGTCCAGATCAGTGTCTGCTTATGTGCTGGTTTTTGCCTAGTAACAGCTTTTGTTCCAATGATTCCAAACTAAGACTGCCACTTCCGTGGTTGGTTTGAAGAGGAAGGCATTCACCGGTAGGTGGTGTAGGTGAAGACTTTGTTTTGCAGAGCCAAAATTCTGATTTGCTTTATCTTATCTCTGAAAATAAAATCTCTCTCACCGTGGTCTGGAGCTGCTATCTACAGCTTGGTGTATCTTTCACATTTGAACGTGGGGGGGTGTATGTAACTGTATTGCTTCCTCTAAGTTCTGATACTTGTGTCAGGCTACAGGCAGAGTTGTTTTGCTCATCTAAGGCCTTGATGTTGCTGTTTGCACCACAGTTTTTAGATAGAGCAATTGGCTCAACAGGAGATACAGGATGCAAAAATTACAGGTATGGTGTCAGAAAAACTGCTCCAAAAATATTATTGCTTTTTAAGAACCAAATTGCAGCGGGTTTTGGAGGTAGATGTTACAAACTAATGCCAAGAGAAGGGGACGACATAGAGCTGATGGTAACGGTGTGCCAGCAGTTGCCTGGCCTCCAGTGTGAAGATACACATATTGCTTTTTGTCATTTCTGGGATAGGGGCTGTGTAAACAGAGTTGCTTGAAAATAGCACTCTGCTCTGTCATTATGTCAGGCTGCATTGTTCGTTGAGTACACAGATCCAGTCTGAGAGTTGTGGTACTTCTTGAAGACGCACCTAATGCAGATATTGATCTGGCTTTCTCTTTCATGTGAAGTCACTCAAAATATGCTCCTGTGACCAGCTGTCAGCTGCCCAGTTCCAGTGGCTCTTCGAAGAGCTAGACAAGGATGCCATTAAACAAGTATGTGAGCACCTCATCGTTATTTACAGAGCGTCATAAGTTAGCATGATTTTGAACAGTTCTGTATTTATGTGGAACTAAGATCTTTCCCTCTCTTTGAGGGAGATGAATGTTGGGAGTGGTGGAAGGAATATATGCAATTAATAGCCTGGTGGTTAATTTGCTTGCTTGATGCATTGGAGAGGTTGGATTTTTTTTCCCTTTATTATCTTGTATTGTGCCATGATCACCAACACTTTTGCTCTTTGAATATGATCTCTTGCTGATAATAGCTAGAGCTTGAAAGCACTTTCCTATTTAAATATAGTTAAAATGGGCTTGAAAAGTTCTGCTTTGAAAAAGTATGTTTCTTAAATCTGAAACTGGGCTTTTTTTTTCCTGCACCGTTATTAAAATACTTGTGTTGCCTCTCAGTGTAATTGTTGTGTTCTTTTCAGCATCCTCCCAGTCCAGAGTACCAGTCCCATTTCATGCAGAAAATGCAGTTTGCCTTTGGCCATCCTTACTTTGGCTACTTGGGAAATGTTGTTGCCCTTGCAAACATCGTTTCCATCTGTGTACGTAAGGAAGAAAAGCAATTTTTTTCTTGTTGCAAAATTCAGCAGTAAAACAGTGGATTCATGGGAGATTTATTGTTATTTAAGGTGGTTTTGGTGTTGGATGCAGATAAGCAGCCTTCTGAAAGAGATGACTTCTTCTTAGGGGTAAGATGCAACAGTATTTCTGTGGATGTTGCTGTCCCCTTAATGTGGCTAATTCTAATCTTTGTTATCGTTTGTGCGGTCTGAAGACTATCAACTGCTTCTTCATCATATACTATCTGATGGAAATGTTGTTGAAAATCTTGGCAATGGGCTTGAAAAGATACTTATCATACCCAAGCAATAGGTTTGATGGTCTTCTAACTACAATTTTGCTGGTAAGTTTGTTTTGTTGTTAACTTCTGTATTCCTGAATTTGTTGGCTAGGATGATATTGAGCTGTGAGATCTAGCAAGATGCCAGTAGGATTACTCCTAGTTGAACACTGATGTGCTGAGTTGAACAGCTTGAGTCAGTGTCGTGTTTTCCAGTGGCATGAGTGCATTGGAATGTTACTTTGAATGTCCCTTTCCTGGAGAAATTGCTGGAAAAGTTGAGCTCTCTTACAGGCAGCCTCTTTACCGTTATTTGGAAGCATTCTGCTCATGAGGATGTCTGTAATGTAGTTAAGCATCACTTATTGAATAAAAAAATAGCAGGATATTAATTGTGTTTGGCAAAACCCTGAAACCTAACTTACACCATGTAATTCACTCAGTATCTTTTTATGCGTCACCTTAGGACTAATTTGGATGAATTGTCAAGTACAGCAATACCAGAGTACATGAGTAGAGTCATATTAGTGGCTTAAAGCTATTGAAAATGTTTTCCGTTGAGAAAGGTAAGTAATATTTAAACCTCAAAATTACCAAGTTTAAAAAGGTTTTTACTCTTTTCCTCCCCCTCCGTCTGAAGGTTTTGGAGATTGCAACTTTTGCTGAATATGGATTTCCTCATCCTGGTTGGTAAGTAAACTCCTTGAAGCATTACACTGTCTTGGATGTCTGGGTTGGGTCAGGAGAATATACGTGCACATTCATGCACACTTGTGTTGTTCTGCTGTAATTGTCAGCCCAGTGCATAACTTACCAAACTTAGTACAAGTTCTCCCTATTGTAGTCACTAAACTTCATGTTGCAAAATTTAGTAGAGAAATTGCCATGTTCATCTGCACTGGAACAGAAAGCACAGGTCTCTTGACTTTTTTTGTATTTGTTTTAAGTCCAAATCTTGGATAATTATCTTTTTTCATCATTAAAACCATGGAAGTGATTGTTTCCATTTTTAAAATAGATGTGTGGTGCTGTCTTAGATGATTTTAAGGCTAGACTTAAATGTTTGTGATGCAAATTGTGATCTAGCATCTGTTACCAAGGAGTTTGTCATTGCTGTCTTTCCTTCCCCCACCACCTGCCCACACTTGCAGCAAGGAGCACCCAGCATGCCTGTGTAAAAGTCAGCTAATGCTCGAGCTGAGATTGTATGTGTATGGATATTGTCTGTGGAATACGTATGTAAGAAAGAATGTTGACTGGGTAACCTGTCAGCTTTATGCTTTCTTTGAGCCCTGGATGAAGTTAGCCTTCAGTAACTTCATTAGTGTCTTTCTGTGATGGGCTGTTTCTCTGATGTGTTCTTTCTTTCCTAGGAGACCAGAGTTTGTGGGCCTGCTATCCCTGTGGGATATGGTGCGACTGGTGAACATGTTAATTGTGTTCAGGTTCCTGCGGATCATTCCTAATATGAAGGTTGTTTACTTATTCCTCCACACTTCTGATATCTTTGGTGATCAAGTTACAAATTTTGTGAAAGCCTCTCCCAGTACTGTGCACCAGCTTTCCCTTCTGTGTCACCTGGATGGGAGCGTAATTCCTCAGTCTGCACTCTTAACTGTCCAGACAATTGCACAGCACCTCACAAACTCTCTTTAGCTGGTTTTCTTCATTGACGTAGTAGGGAAGTCCTGTTGATGTTGCTGTAGCTGTTGCTGACATTATAAAATGGGTAGGGAAATGCGTCCAGAAATTCTTGCACAGCCTATGTTGGGCTTCAGCCTCATCTAGTGACTTGATATGAAGTCCTTGGGGAACTTTGTACTCAGGAGCTGATAGGCTCTCACTGGGTGCTGCTGGGCATTTTGATCCTGCAGAGGCTTGTTTGAGAGGAGATCCTCTCCTCACTTTCCAGTTATGAGTAGTTACACCAGAGCAGCCATAATCTGAAATCACTTTGACAGTTATAATCCTGCAGTTAGATTTGCTTGAAAGCTACATCTGAATTCCCATCAGGAATGGAACTTGTATTTTAGTTTAATAAAGCATAAATATCTACCTGATGTGATTGGAGGTCATGGTGTGGGTGGAAATTGTAGACTAGAAATGCTTCCACATCAGTCTCTCTGGAGCTGTGGGACACTTAAACTGTTTTTCCTCCATATTTTGGTCTTATACCTAGCCCTTTAGGTCACAGTGTCTGAGCATACGTAAAATTTAGCTTCATATCTGCTTATGAAAAGGAGTATGGCTCTGTTCATAAAACTGCAGTTATCACTGTACAAAAGATTGCCTGCATTCAGACATCTCAGTTTTCCTTCTAGTAAAAATAATTATATGCAGATTAATAGCATGATAAATGGAATATGTATAAAATTCTGCTTTCTTTCAGTTCATGTCTTTGGTTGTTACTACGTTGCTGGACCTGGTAAAAAACTTGAGAGCCTTTGCAGGAATCCTGGTGGTAAGTCATGATGCAAAATTGTCAAGCATGTTCTCGTTATTATGCTGCTATCTGTAAGAAAGGCAGTGAGGAAGTAAACCAGGGCCTTTGGATGTCAGTTTCTGTGACTTCTAACATTTCACTGAAATCAGGCAGTTCCTCAGTATTGTGATGAGCTGCTGTTTTGTTCTGGCCTGCACAAAGTGTGCCTCAACTTCACCTACCAGTGTCTCTTAGGAGCACACTTAAAAGGTTATTTAAGACTTTCCTGAAGTACTTGTCTCAGGTTGGATATTTCAATTTTGAAAAAATCACCTGTTTTCTAGAAGCAGCCTGGTTTTCCTTACCCTGACCTGCTTATCTTAAAATTAGATAGCTTAACAACTTCAAAATCATTTTGAGTTGGGAAGATCTTGAAATATGTGTTTGGACATGGGGATTTCTGAAAGTCCATGCTGTCATGCCCAAAGAGTGTTTGATGTGTGTAATGTGTGACTAAAGGATGTGTCACAGCACATGATGTTCATGGCTGCATTTCCTAACTCCTGAGTTTCTGGATTTGTGACTGTGTCTTCCTGGCAGAGCAAATGAGTTTGTGGGGCATTATTTTTATAATATTTTAGTTTTGTTTTGTTAAGATACTTAAATTTGAGATTAGGGTTAAAGACCAAGGATTCGTTGTATGTTAGGTATTGTCTAAGACGTTTTTTTTTTTTTGGTATATCAAAATAAAAACTGGCTTGTCACTCAGTTTATCCAAGAATATTTGCTATTGTTGTTACTAATCTTGGTTATTATCTTCAGTTGTGTCCTGGAGAGGCTTATGTTGCAATTTGAAATAATGTTGTCTTGTGCAAGGATAAATTGGTAACAACTTTGTTCTGCTATGCAAGTCGTATGTCTTGTTGAGACCTATGCATAAAACTGAGAAATGCTTCAGGAGTGTGCCAACTGAGATCTTAGTTTTTATAGTTTTTTTAATAGTTTTTTTTTTTTCCCAAGAATCTAAAGGGAGGACTACAAACAAGAGGGATGTCGACTCTTTACAAGGGTAGATTGAGGCAGGACGAGGGGAACTGGTTTTAAGTTGAAGGAGGGAAGATTTAGTTGAATGTCAGGGGGAACTTATTTACCAGGAGAATGGTGAGGTGCTGGAACAGGTTGCACAGAGAGGCTGTGGATGCCCCGTCCTGGAGGAGCTCAAGGCCAGGTTGGATGTGGCCATGGGCAGCCCGGTCTAGTATTAGATATGGAGGTTGGCAGCCCTGCCTGCAGCAGGGGGTTGGAGATGATGATCCTTGAGGTCCCTTCCAACCCAAGCCATTCCATGTTTTTATGATAGGTCAAAGTACGTTTCAAGAGCTGAGTTGCCAAATGTCAGAGCCCTGGGAAGTAGCACTCTTTGGATGAGCTCTGTTGTGCTTTGCTGCAGGATTCCAAACTGTGCTGCTACTGCCACGGCTGGACGTGGGCTTAGTGTTCTGCTGAAACACCCTTTGATTCCTGACAGTCATAATTACAATGGCAGGAGCTTGTAGTTATAGGCTCAAGTTCTTCTTTAGCTGTTATGCCTTAGCGTTTCAGTCTGGTGTCCGTATTCATGCATGTAAGATGTAATGCTTATGAAGTGGTTCTTATCCACTGCAAAATGTCCATCATGCCAGGAGCGTGAACTGTAGTTTTTCACTAATCATGAGGCAATTTTTGCCATAGCATTTGCCACTTCCTATAATTCAACTTGCTTTTACTTGAGGCACTAGGAGCTGCCACTGAGCTTCTGTCACATTGATATCTGAGTCCATTATCAGCTGATGCTAAAAGTTTTAACAGACTTTCTCCTGGAGCTTGTGCTGGTAAAGTAATGTAGCTCATTAGCTAATTTGTCAGATGATACATGTGCTTACATAAAATATCTTTATCAAAGAATAAAGTCAACTTTATTGCAAGGCCATATGCCCCATCTTCTGGTAGGCTGTGGAATGGCAGCTTCAACTTAACTTCAGTAATGTCTAAAAAGAGCAGTGCAGTCTTCCTTCTCTTTGTGGACTACTCCACTTTGTTTTCTAGCAAAACACAGAGATGGGACTGAAGACACCTCAGTCTGTAAACTCATCTTGTCTCAAGCTGTTGTAAAACAAAGGGCTCCTTACTTACATTTAACCAAAAGTTAAATGGGATTTTAAAAAGAGCAACAATTATATATAAACAAAAATATATATAATATATAAAAGATATATTTTAATATATAATATTATATATTTAAAAGTATAGGTATTAAGAACTATTTTTATTTCAGAAGTTCCAGGTATTTTTCTTGACCATTGCCCTTTTCCTGTGATACTAAGGTGAATTCTGTATTAATTGCACTGTTTTCCTATTTAGTGACAGAAATATTCAAAACTAATGCCTGAACGTATTCCTTCCAGGTGGTTTTCTATGCATTTGCTATAACTGGCATAATGCTGTTCAAAGGTGCTGTGGTTCCTCTGGGAAATGTCAGGTAATATCACTATTCAAAGTAGTACTCGATAGTTTTCAAGTATCTGCAACACTGTGACTTGGAGTTGTTTTATTTTATTCTTGTGTTCGAAGCTGCCTTTGCATTAATCACACAGACTTTTTTCATTTGTTACTCTGTCAGTTTTTTTCTTGCTGTATTGGAATTGCAGAAAGCTCACCTGTAGCTCAAAATGTTTAATCTGCTGTAGCTTTAATACTTAATTTAATGATTTCCTCTGTTTTCTGCCCAAATGAGGTACTTAAATTTCTACAAGGTACTCACAGGAATCTTGTTTTTAAGATATAGTATGTAGATTGCTATGCTCATATCAGACTATCATTCTCTTACAGCCTTGTTAATACAACGTATAACAACAGCACTTTGCAGTGTGGGACCTATGAGCAACTGGAATATTGGCCAAACAACTTTGATGACTTTGCTGTGAGTCAGTCTTAGCTCTCCTCTCTCTGCCTGATGCTGTCCCTCATTGTCTGAGGCTTTTAAGTATGTGATGCATTCGCTCAACTTCTCTTTTCCTCATTCTCTTCAGGCAGCATTAGTGACTCTCTGGGATGTGATGGTAGTGAACAACTGGCAAGTCTTTTTGGAAGCATTTTCGAGATACTCAAGTCCGTAAGTAACAGTAATAAAACTGATACAGTGCCGTATAAATCTGGATTGTAAACAAACAAGAATTGCACAGATAGCACAGTTCCTATAATCTTATAAAGAGAGGTGCTTCTTACTTTTCTTTTGGGTAATTCCAGGTTTGTAGGAAAAACTATGTAACTCAATGACTTGCTGCTGCAGAAGCTGTGGTCATGTTTAGAAGGTATTCTAAACTGGTTCGATAATTCTCTTGTTCCAAAAAAACGTGAATTATAAACAGGTTTGCAACATACATTTGCTGGGGGCTCTAACTGTAGAGTCAGTTATGCAGGAGAGATGTAAATGAATCACAGTAACATACTTTAGGTTGCTTTTGTATTTACTCTGTGGGTAAATAACTTTTGGTAGGCTTAGAATCTTGGGCATATCTTTCGTTTGTACTGCACTGTTATATGGGAATTTTGAGTTAACAAATTAGCCTCTGAGTTGGCTTGCTGCAGTGATCCTTGGCTGGTCGCATTTCAGTGCAGTAACCTGGGAGTTTTGCTGTTTGATCCGCATATCAAATATTGCAGTTTGAATCAAGCAGAAGGAAGAGGTACTTCACCCAGCATGTGGTTAAGATGGAGCATTTTCCTACAAGTTGTTAGGTGTGTTAAGTGTTAAATGTGGTCTGGTGATGATTGGAGAAGTCATGAGAGAAATTCATTGGGATCTGAAATGAACGGAATCGACCTCTAGCTGAATGAATTTCTAAAGTTCAAGTGGTTGGAGATGAAGAGCACTTAAGGAATAGCCTTGTAGGTATTTTGCTGTGTTTTTGCACTTGTTCCATTTGCTGCTGCTGTTGGCCACTCAAAGGATACCATCCTAGGTAGATCTTTTTGTGATCCGTAACATCCTTTCCTAGCGTGTTTTTTTTTCTGTCCTTTCGTGGTTTGTTTGGGTATGTTAAGTTGGGGAACAAAATCTGTTTGGCTAACTGAATGAAAAGTCAAGATTATTGTTGTTCAATCCAGATCTTACATTAGGGAAGTAGTAGTATAATCTTAGAAGGAAAAATGTGATTTCATGTCTGTCTTTGGTCACTTACATACAGGCTGAGTTTATTTGCTGCCTAGTTTATCACAGACCCACAGACTCATTTATTTCCTTTAATCTGATCTGCAGGTGGGCAAAGATCTATTTTGTAGCCTGGTGGTTGATCTCCTCTGTCATATGGGTTAATCTCTTCATAGCTTTACTTCTAGAGGTAAGTAGTAGTATTATTTGATGCTAAGTCCTGATAAAATGTTACGATCTGTGTGGGAAATGAAAAGAGCCCCCAAAAACTTCTGGGAAATGCAGTTTGGTTGTGTGTGTCTACTTGATCTTTTTCCCCATCCTTTTCCCCCAGATGTTCAGGAAGCATTTTCTTTTCCCCAGACAATTGTGCTTTTCTTTATTTTGAAGCTTTGTCACAAGTCTGACCGCATTTCGTTGGATGTGAATGTTTGTCCATCACAACTTCTTTGCTATAAGGATGTGTTATGGTGTCAGTTTTTTTCCATTGCTTTTGTCTTCCAGAACTTTATTCACAAGTGGGACCGTCGCTGTCATCGGGAGTCTCTCTCAGATATCGAATACCAGAGGACAGTTGAACTAATGTTCAGGTGAATTAAATTGGGCTTGGTGATTGATTTAGATTATTCTGTTTATCTCTTAGTGCTCGTTGCATGAGGGTACAAGACTTCTCTTAATTTCCTTCCTCAGAGGTAAACTGTGTCATCTTTTACCTTGGTGAATCTCAGTACATGCTTTAGTTGGGCTTGTTTTATGCTGACTCGTGAGCCTAACCTTTATATGCTTTCTGCCAAGATTGTGGTGGGAGAAGAGGTATTGGAAGTAGGGGGAGCTGTGCTGAGGGGGAGAAGAAAATGGAAGATGAGGAAACTAGTGCACATTCTTGGCTTACTATGAAACTGTGGGTGGTGAGTTGATATTTGATGATCATGAACATGTAGAACTTCTGGTGCACATTGGATATTCAATAGTAGCGTTGGGAACATGTTCTCATTTGGGAGCTTTTTCAGGAAAACAAACTTACTGACCTTCAGTTGTATTGTACTGTGTGCAGGAAATTGTTTCCCTGCTCCTTATGGGAAAACAGCTGCTGGTTTCCATGACACATCTGTAAAGGATGGATCACTGGCAAGTAGATGCATCTTTAGGGAGCATCAACTTATTGTAATTTTAATTCCACTTTTCAAGAATGAAACGAGCACGTGTTCTTGCAGCATGGATGTTGAGATGCAGCAACTGCTGAGAAGTTCCCTTTGTTGTCCCTAACAACCCATGCTTTCTCTTTGTAGAGATGTTTTGGAAGAACCGACAGAGGAAGAGCTGATGGAAAAGCTGCACCAACATCCACACCTGCACTTATGTAGGTGACTGGTGGGAAGGATGGACTTATTTAGACCTCTGTTTTTTGAGGTTGTCAGCTGGAAGAAATAGAACGGATTTTCTGTGAGGTGCTGTTGGAGAGGTTTGCAAGGCAATATGTAAGGCTTTGCTTGACAATTCTCTGCCAAAAGAATGTTTTTAATTGTTCGTATTTGAATCCTTGCTATTCCAACTTGATTTTAAGTTGCAATTTTAGAGGAGTATTGCAGCTATTATTTTTATAAACTGTTGGTATCAGAAAGTTTTATTTTCTTTTTTAAGAAGGGAAAGTGTGTTAAAAGGACAGTGCACTTTAAAACATGAACTTTGTACCACTAGGCCTACTATTTTGAAAAGCACAAGAAAATGGAGCTGCCTTTCCTAGCAGGGGAGTGTGGAGAGGGCTGCACCCTGCAGTTGGTGAACAGATTAGGCAGGGCCAAAACAAAATCCTTCCTTTTTCTGTAGGGAGACTGAAACACTATTTTCACTGAAACATGACACCAGCCTGTCTTACTAAATATACAGGAGTTAATCACTTCAGAACACAATTAATTTCAACTGTGGTTGAACTTAATCACGTGGAGTGCCTACTTCACACCTCTTCCATTTGATCGAGGGTTTGTGCTGGTTGCACCTGCTGGTTGCCTTGAGAGCAATAGTAAGTGTGAATGGAAAAATTACATTTATGGTTTTCAGTGTGATAAGACTGAGCTCACCTTTAGGGTAGATATTTTCATGTTGCTTTTCAGCGAACTCTTCCTAAAGTTAATCTTCCAAATTGTGTTTTACACTGTATCATGTTCCATAAAAAAGCTGAGGGGAATGAACTTTTGGCCAGATGTAGCATCGTGATCACTGTGAGTCTCCCTTTAAAAGGGGGTGAAAAAAGGCTGAGTGGGATAATCAAAGTGCATAGCAGTTCAGATTTTCTTCTGAGTGTTGCTGTGGCTTTGGGGCCACTTGTTGTGTACCTGAGTAATTTGTCTTGTGTAAATACCTTGGTCAATGTATCTAAAGTTGAGAATTAACAGTAAGTTATGTTTATGTGCTTCTCGTTACCCCTTAGTATTTCTCTAAAAATGGTGCTTATGTTTGGTTCTTTGTCACATAACTAGTAAATTGCTGTCACAAATAGACTCGTTTCCAACTTAAATTTTTATATGTGAAAATGAAACTATACTTTGAGGCACTGAATTTTCATTGAGTCACTTGTCACTAAAATAGCCAATGATTCTCTGCACCTGGCAAAGGCCTGGGGAAGTAAATGGCTCTATAATGTCTATGAACTTAGGGGTTATTTGATACTTTTTAGATAACAAAACTTTATAGAAAGTGCCAAGTAGTCATCCTATTTACTTTTTACTCTTTTTTTTGTCATCAGTTTTTTTTCTAGTTTCCTCTCCCTAATACAGGAAAGAATCTGGGACAATGGTGCAACAAGCTCAGAAGTGTATTTTTGCATTATTGCATTATTTAAAAGTTATTTGGCAGTTCTTGTCTGTTTCTTTATCACTAATTTTCCTTATGCTTTAGACAAAGTGCATGTCTTGTTTGCATATTTATATGAAGTCTCAGCTGAACTCTATGCCATGCAGCAATTTTTCTTCTGTAATTCTGCACCTTAAGCCATGCTGTTGTCTTTTTCACTTTTGTCTCCATTCCTTAATAATCCAATGAGTAACTTGATTGCACAGGTTCCAGGGGCATTACTATGCTTATATTCTATTGTGAACTTCAAACACAGATTATAGCGAGTAGATAAAAGGCACCAGCACACTTCTTTCTTTGATTTTGGTTTTGTCAGGATGATTTCTGCTTTTTTGAGCTTGATTTAATCACAAATACCAATTTATTGGCACTGTTAATGGAGTTATACTCTACTGACCTTTTTACTCAATCATCTTTTTCATTTTGGACTTTTCTAAATACTTGGAGAAGCCACTTTGCCTGGCCAGAAAGTTGGTGACCGTTTCCTATTGGCTTGCAAGCTTCAATTCTGTTTTGTTTATTTGTTATTAAGATTTTTTTTTTGTCCATGACATTCCACCACAATCTACCAAAGCAACATGAGTTGGTGTGGAATTATCATCACCAGTGCCTCTGCAGTGCAGTCTTCACATCTGCACAAGGGTGAAGAAGGCTTTCTGAAGGGAGTAGTCTTAGCCTTGTTCATGTTTCACAGTTGTGTAATGAATGGGGAAGTTTAATTAGAAGTTAATATTAAATCTAATGGCAGTTGTACTGAAAGATGTAAATGACCACAAGTCTTGCACAGTAACTGTATAAATCATGACAATTAATGTAACTGGGTAAAATTTGAGGTTTGTATTATTAAAAAGGTTTATTCTTAAAATATGAAAGTAATTGAGCTGTTAAAATGATTCCTGTGGTTTGCTTTCTTTCCGTGTCTCATAGCTACAGAATTCTTTCTAAGGACATGTTAGCATCATCTGTAGGTACTTATGCTTAACTTCTAAGGTGAATAATTCCTTGGAACTAAGTCAGGATGTTGGGCACCCTGGTTTCCATTCTCATTTTAGTCTTTGATGCGTCTGCAAACTGGATTTTCCTTCCTTGTTGTCCCTGAGAGGGTCAGTGCAATATATGTTCTCATAGCACTTCACAGAACTGTTTGAGTTGGAAGGGACCTTTGAAGGCCTTCTGGTCCAACTTCCCTGCAATGAGCAGGGACACCTATACTAGATCAGGTGCTCAGTGTCCCATCCAACCTGACCTCAAATGCCTCCATGGATGGGGCATCCAGCACCTCTCTGAACAACCTGCTGGTGCCTTATCATAAAAAACTGTTTCTTTATATCCAACCTAAATCTCTTATCTTTTAGTTTGCCTTATCCTATCACTGCTAAAGTGTCTGTCCCTTTCTTTCCTCAGCTGGGGCAGATCTCACACAAAATATGTCCATAACATTACTTTGAAACAGGCTATGTTTTTTAAGAACAGGGCAAAATCAATTCTGGGTCAAGCTAAAGTCATCTTAAGTTTGCTACTGTCTCTGGCAATTGCTTTGGCGGAGCATGTAGGAAACAAAGTAAGCAGCAGGTGACCTTGCCTTGTTAATCAGGGACAGATTTTTGCTAGTTGCCCAGGGAGGCTTTAATCAGCAGCGCCTTGGCTGATTGGAGATTCCTCAGGTGTTTTTTATTCCTCACCTGCTATGAATTTGTACTATTTAAAGACTTAAGGGTGATAGGAGAGAGAAGAGGGAATTCAAATGTTCTGTTTCAGTAGAAGCATGGAAACAAGAATCAGTTTCAATAGCATGCTTATGTATGAAGGAATTTCAGAAGCTGCAGATGGGGCAGCCAGTGTAACCAGTAACTGGGCAGAAGCTGCAGATGAAAGAAGAAATACCCTCTTGGATTTCAAGGAATTATGTGAGTAGAGTACACGAGGCTTGCTTTCTTGACCTCTCTATATTGCACTGGTGGGGACTATCAATTAGTAAACTATGAAATGTAAAGTAAAAGTATCTTAAATCTTGTTTTCACCTGTCTGCGTACCACAGGCAGTAGCGTCTGTGAGTAGTGTCACCGTGACTTCTACTATTGCTAAATGTTCTTTTAGTTGGATGAAGTCATTTCAGCTTTCCATCTGTCTTGGCTTTTTATTGAAAAGGAAATAAATATAGGTGTCTGCATGTGCTGTTTATGTAGGCGTGTTGATGACTTCTGCTTTCCCTAGAGTTTTCTTTAAATAACAGGCCTTCCGCCCGAGGGGAGATCAAATGGTTTGGACTTAATCTGCAGTCTTTTAAATGTTTGGAGACATTTATTATGTGAACTTTGAGTAGAAATAATTTCGAGTGGGGGAGGGCAGAGACTTGGTTTCAGTTTCAGCTCTAAGCACTGTGTGGAACGTTTCCAAATGACCTTGATAACCTAGAGGAAATAGCCAAAATTGTGGGTGGAAAATGTAATAAGACAAACTATTACAGTTTAAAAAAAAAATGGCATGGGAGAGTAAGTGGTATTAGAGGACAAATCTTAGAGGTATCTGAAAGATTAAATGAAAAGTACTTTGCTGTAACTTGCTTTGGAATTCCAGTCTTGGAATGGTGTTCCAGTGTTGGACCCCACATTTTAAAATAATGAAGTTAGGGAGGCATTTGTTACAGGATAGTAACAGAGGTCATAAGGGATTTGGGAACCATGTTGGGAAGACTTTGAAGGAGGTGATTAGAAATGGGCAGATGTATTTGCTGTTTAAAAAGCTATGATAATTTGTGAGGGGTGATCTGTTTCTGTTGTGTGATCTCTTTGCGCTGATGGTAGGACAAATCATAGCTCAGATTTTGTTAGAAAGAGTTTCTGGATGTGAGGAGCTGCTGCAGGCATGGAATCTGGGAGGTCACAGATTCCCTTTGCCTGAGGCCCTCTTAGGAAAGCTTCTTAGGAGGCCCTCTCCTCCAGCGTTGTCTGTATGTTTGTGAACCTGCCCCTGATGGTGATGCATCTGCTGGTCCCTGAGATCCCATCCCACCCACCTCTCTCTGATTTCACTGGAAAGAATTCCCATGGCTGTAACAAACTCAGCTTTTGTTGTTATAGCGTGTGCTGTTGGATCTAGCTAATGGCTTGCAAATGTGTACAGTAAAGAAGATTTTTACAGGAAGGGATATTGAAAAATATCCACCCTCGGCCTCCTTTAGTCAAGCAGGAAGGTGAAATTTAGTTGTATGTGCTACGTCTCTGATAATCAGCCTGATTTCCCCTAGGTGCCTCTCTGCATCTTCATTGCAGATGCAGTTTTCCCTTTAATCTTGTTTCTACATATCCCACCTCTTTGGGCAAGAGGAGTAATGTGCTGCCCTTCTACCAGTCTGTGTTTGCTCATTGGTAAGACAAGCACAGAAGGTATATCTTTCTTGTGGTGGGAATGCTTAATTTGGGCACTCTGCTCTGCTTGTGACCAGCTGTCATCTCATGCACTTTGTGGCACGTTTAGCTCATCTGTCATACTTGGTTTGAATGAGTTGAATTCTCTGGGGAGACTTTATTGCTCTCTATAACTACCTGAAGGAGGTTGTAGTGAGCTGGGAATCGGCCTCTTCTCTTGTGCAACTGGTGATAGGACTAGAGGGAATGGCTTCACGCTACACTAGGGGAGATTCAGGCTGGACATTAGGAAATACTACTTCTCTGAAAGAGTGGTCAGGCACTGGAATGGGCTGCCCAGGGAGGTGGTGGAGTCACTGAGATGTGGATTCCAGAAGTCACCTGGAGGTGTTCAAGGAACATTTGGATTTTGTGTTGAGGGACATGGCTTATTGAGAACTACTGGTCATAGGTGGATGGTTGGACTGGATGATCTTGTAGGTCTTCTCTCCAACCTTGGTGATTCTGTGATTACTGGGGGTGATGTTTTGTGTGATTGTTAGGGTGAAGCAGCTAGAAAATGTTCTAACAAGCAAAGCTGTGTTGTTGGGAGTTATACCAATTTTAATTAATACGATGATTCACTGTATCCAAGGTGACTGAAGATTGAGAGCTTTTCAATGAGAATTGAGCACTCTAGTTGGCAGAAGAGGTGATGGTTCAGAGGGTAGTACAGCTAGGATGTGATTGGACTCCATGATCTTTGAGGTCTTTTCCAACCTGAGTGATTCTATGATTCTATGACACTAGTGTGCGCAGCATCAGTAGTCTGTAGAATGTGTTTCTGAACCGTGTGCATCATCCACGGTTACCATTGCTTTCTTGAAAGATAAAATATGAAGATAAATATATCATGGTGTATTTAAATAACAGAGCTGGTAATGGGAAATCTGTTGCTAGGGCAGGAAAAAACACCAAATCTTCAGACTTTGTTAATCACAAGCCTCGCATTTCATGCTATGCTCAAACCTTTTCTGTGTTCATAGAACTACTGCTTTCACAGTATGAGAGAAAATGAGAGAAAATGTTCAACCTCGAGGCTAAGGTGGCACTCTGCAAACAGTAGGTGCATAGTGATGGGTGCAGCTGGGGGAGCCACCTGTAGTTACCACCTGGAAAGCATGTGAGAACAATTTCATGACTGCACGTAGAACAAAGTCACAAGCATGTATGTTCTTAAAAAGTGTCACAGTGGACTAAAATTATTGTTGCTCAGTAGGGAAAACCATAGTGGTGATATCTGTATTTTATATTTGTTTTCCAAAGGTAGCAGAATGGTTTTTTGCCAAGAATTACCCATGTTATTTACTAAATAAACCTAAGCGTCTGTTCAGTTTTTTATTTCTATTTATGTAGCTTATTTGCAATTCTTTTCGTATCCACTCCTACACTTTTCCAGAGTAATATTTTGTTGAACTTCAGACTGTAAGTTGAAGATGATTGCAGCTTGTAACAGCCTTGGTCATCTTTTTTCCATTAGGCCAGTGGAGCAGGTGTTGTCTTTGTTCTGCAAGGATACTTTCATGGCCCTCATCACTGCATTATTTGAGTGCCTCTCGAGTACTTTACTGAAAACATCCTGTTGGAATTGGAAAATATGACTATCCTTATTTTACAGATGATCAGCTGAGATATTTGGTGATCTGCCCATAGCTGAGCTTGAAATCCGTGGGAGAGTTCGGAATAAAACCTGGAGTTCCTGCTTGCTGCTCTCACTAACAGATAATACAGCCTTTCTTCCTTTGCAACAGCTGTGAACTTCAGGTGTAGATGATGATGATGTTTCCAGTCAGTTGGTTTGCAGTTTTGCTACTGCCTATTCTTGTATTTAACTTCTGCTTATGTTGTTCTAAAACTGCAGAAGAATCTAGGAATCTCTCAACTTCTAACTTCATTTCCCATGTTACCAAAAAAAGGAGGGCTATTACTGCTCTGCTACCTGACTTACAAATATTGAGTAGAAACGACCTGATGCTGACCCACGTGCTGGAATTTTAGTAAGCATAACTAAACTGGAAGATTTATAGTATCCCAGGTGCTACTGTATGTGTGCAAAAGGACAGTGAACAAACAGGATGACCATCCAGAGCAACTTCTATTTGACAGCTCCTGCTCTCCCTGCTGTCAGACCTGGCACTCTCTCCAGGAATTCTTTGTTTTTCCTTAGTGTTGTCTCTTCATACTGCTTGTGTTTTGCTCTTTGAGTTGAAAATGAACGGTCCACCTCCTCAGAGCTGGTGAGTGCCTGCAGCAGCATACTGAATTTTGAAAACTGTGTCCAATTGTCCTGCGTCATTTTACAAAGGATCATCAGCCTTTAAGAGGATGGAAAGTGATATAAAAATAGAGCACGATTTTAACACCAAAGTCTATTGTATAATAAGGATGAGTGTCTGTAACGTGAAATACAATCTCTAATGTGACTGCGGGTTGCTGAGCTGGATGCAGAGTCAAATAAGGATTGTGTTA